TACATAGGAAATATTTATGTTTAATGAAGCAGAAATAATTTAAAAAAACAAGAACGTTTTGGTTGATAGAAATGAAAACGTCTTTATATTATTGTCAATTAACTTTATGGAATATATTGAGAAAAAAAAGCGTGATGACGTATTTTTTATATATGAGTAATATCATAAATAAATAAAAAAATGTAAGTTTGACTCATGATAACATTTGTCTGATATTGATGATGTAATAAAGAAAGAAAAACAAAATGTCTATGTTACAAATAAATGTCGAATGTTATCTAGTCACGGTTGGTCACATTTAACAGAAATAATATTCGTTCGTTTTTTTCATCTATTTTCATCTAAACGAAATCAACGTGATGGGTACAAAAACATCAAAACAAAAAAATGATTATTCTTATTCTCAAGATAATACATCTTATGATAATGTTCTTCGTTCTTATGCAAAATGGCAACATTCTTCAGCTCTTGTTAGTCATGATGAATCGCGTTTTACTACTAATGAAATTCGAAATTTCAACAAACATAATTTTATTTGTCAAAATTCTCCTAATCCACAAAAAGAAAATGAATCAAATATTAAAAATCAATCATTATCAAATAGAAAAATCGAATTTAATTCATCATATAAAGATAAATTTCATTCTGATCATAGTAAATATGATAAAATATGTCAACTTGAAAGAAGTCAATCAATTGATCAATTATCACATTCAAATAATATAATAACAGCTAAACAATTAGTTATATGTAATTCACAACAAAGAATTAAATATCGATCAGACAAGTTAAATCAATCATCTGATCAAATATTTTTAAATGAAAATATTCAAAAATCCTTATTGAAAACAAATAAAAATCAATTTATTTCTTCAAACAATAAAAAACAAAAAATACCAGCTGATCTTCAATTTATTTTAATTAATCAATATGATTTACAAGTAAATTTATTAGATTTTTAACAAATTAATTTTTCTCTTTAATCTAACAATAATATATAGTTTTTTTATAAGGAAAAATCATATCATTATTTATTAACTATAGTTTAATAACAAAAAAGAAATTGAATTTTACTTTAGAATTAATAATCCATTAAATGACGATAATAGGATATAAGATACTTATCATAGAATTTTAACATTAAACTTAAAATGAAATATCAAAAATAATTCTTAATATAGAATACATTCCTATTAAAACAATTATTCAAACTCAAAAAAAAAAAAAATACTTTTGTCAGAATATTTATTTTTAAATTTGTTTTGAACAATTAATTGTTTAGTTAAAAGAATCTTCAAACATATAAAATAATTGAAAATTGTTAATAGAAAAATAATTTTGATTTATCTTATAAATATTATTATTAAGCTCAGAATTGAGATAAAAATGATTTATTAGATTTTTTTATCTATTAAAATGTTTAACATTATTTCATTAAATAAATATTTGTTTATTTTTCATTATTAACACAAGATAATATTATTTTAAAACGTATCATTATCAGTTTAACATTTGACAGTTTTTAAAAAACTACCTTTATATTAATAAATGTCAATGGATTAATTCACAATTTAAACAAAACTTTCTTTATTAATCTCGACGGTATCAGTCGAACAAACTTTCTCTTGTCACTTTCAATCATATTCATAATTAGAAGACCGTTTGTAACAGTTCGATTCTTATTTCTGGTGTCTCTCTATCTCCCTTGGTTATTTTGTGCCG